AAAAAAAAAAAAAAAAAAGAAATATCTGTTCCCAAATGGGATTACAACCATAGGTATTGTTGTTGATAAGTGTCATCAAGTTGGTTCTGACTCATAGTGACTCTGTATAAGGTTTCCAAGGAGTGGCTTGGGGGTTTGAACTACCAACCTGGCAGATCAAACTGACCTTGTGGTCCAGCGCATTATACTTCAGTGCCATATATAGGGTGAGAAATTATAACACACATATTTGGAGGTCACAATTAAGCCATAACAGCTAAAATCTTATAAAGGAAGGAGAAAAAAAAAAAACTTTACTGATGTCAATTTCACCTTTAAACACATCGAAGGGCTTTCAAGAGGAGAAGGTAACTCAGAGCTGCGTGTTCTGATACCCAGATGTTCCTGGGAGAGCTGGGCTGACACAGTGTGACTGGAGGCCCCTGATGGGCAAGCCACCACAACTCAATGCCAGGCTTTAATGGATGATAAAGTGAATGCCACCCAGACAGCTGTAACCTGGAAGATAAAGGTGGTCCCAGATGATTCCCAAGGCAATGTGGACCATGGGTATCAAGGCTGCAACAGACAGCCCTACAGGCCCTCAAATCAAGACAACCACACTGTGTGCCAGCAACTCACACAGTCATGCCAGCCAGCCTCAGTACTCTCTCCCCACCTAGTGGGAGAAAGTAGGATAGACTGATTTACTGTTTTTGATTAAGTTGGTTTCTGGAGAGCTTAGACACCAAAAGAGAGGTGCTGGACATAAAAATAGCAGGTGGGAATCATTGAAAAAATAAAGTAAATCTGACCTTCATTTTTAACTCAAGCTGGAGAAAAGCATGCACAGATTGCTTATGGCAATCATTAGGAATACATACAAAGAAGGACACCCCAGGATGTGGATGACAGTGTTAGATACAGCAGACACACGAAGTTTTCCAGAGTCAGAAAGTGAATGAGTTATATTACATCCATACAATAAAATATCATGCAGCCATCAAAATCACATTTCCAAGATATTTTTTGACATGGGAAGAAGGAACTAGAAAAATCAGAATATGAAATGATATAATTGGTTACAACCAATTTTGGTAAAACTATTTTCAAAAATATCTATGTATGGTTATCTTAATAGGCAAGGCTACATATTATTTTCATCTTATTCTTTCTGATATTTTGGCCTTCCAAAGTATGTATTACCTTTGGAATAGAAGAATGTTGTATTTTCTTTAATGTTTTATTGTGAATTCTGTGACAGTTTACATGGGAGAACATTAGTTTTACATTCATCTTATTGTATATCATTTCATTGCCATGGTTACAACCAACCAAAGGGTATACCCTACAAGCCTGCCCCCCGGTCGTCAGCACGAAGCCCTTCTCCCTCTCTGGGTCTAAATTCCCTCTCTGGGTCTAAAGTCTCCCTCTCTGGGTCTAAAGTCCCCAGCTGCTCTATCTCTCCACATCATTGTCTCTGCCTCCATCTCTGGCATCACTGCTTCTCTGGATAGGGTCCTGTTCTCCACTCTTCTCCCTTCATGGTCCCAGGGACCTCCATTCCTAGACTGCAAAGTTAATCACTTCCCTCCTTGCTACAAAACATCTACCTTTACATTTCCAACCCTCACGAGCAGTCCTGATAACAATTATTCACTATTATATCACAGGAGACCTATCCGCATTTCCTTTCATCAGCCCCGCCTAGGCAGATTGGATACTACTCAGTGGAGATTCTACCTTCCTCCATGCCATTTGGATCTAGGTTCTCTCTTCAAAGCTTGTAAGCCAGTCAATTCTTGCCTTTGAAGCCCCCCCACACACACACACTTTCGTTAACCAATGCCCAAGTTGCCCATCCCTCCTGTCTATTCTGTGTGTGGAAGGGGTGGGAATGATCCTTGCTGTAAAGATTTGTTCCCTCTTTTGAGCTACTGCATCCATAGGTGTCGGTCAGTTCATCAAATTGTATCAGATTATTCTTTCTTTCCTCTTCTTTCTTCTTCTGGTCAAGCTCTGATCATCCAGTCATTGAGGCCTGGTCAAATGGGTATTATCTGCAAGTGTGGGTGTTCTTGTGCATATGCCCTTTCATCTAATCAGCTGGATGCTTCACTCTCCATTCTAGTCCTCTGTGGCTATGTACTGACTCTGGGCCCAAGAGTCCCCAGGTCTTGCCACACTGCTGCCCAACTAGATCTCTACCCGGGTTCACAGGAATCTATTGAACATTGTAGGGCTTAGCTCGTAGCTTCATTGCTCTTTTTCCCTCACTTCCCGTTATCAGTGATGAACATGGTCACCAATCAGAGCATGTATTCCCACTGAGTCTTAGTCTTGGAAGGGGGTTTACTCTGAGAGGACCCGACCACTTGCCTTGATATCTTCTGGGTAAGCAACTTGCTTGTTCTTGTAGTAATCAGTTGGTCTGCCTCTATTGTTTTGTATTTTTCCTGTCGGTCTTTCTTTCAAGAAGTATCTTCTGTTCTAGCCACTCCAGGCTGGTCTGCCTGTCCTTTCAAGTGGAAATTTCCCACCTCTGAAGATTCTGCATGCTGTTCAGGATTCTACCTATAGTCTTATGTAATGCAGAGGCTCCGTAGGAAGCCTCCTTCACTGGGCACATTGTAGCCAATTTTAGGTATTCCAATCAGTCATAGGCAGAAGAAGAAGAATGTATTTTTAACACTCCTTCTCAATTCAAGTTAAGGCAACATTCGTCCATGCATTCATTCTTATCTTTCACCTTAGCTTGTTACTGCCTTTAATCCAGGAATACTACCAGCAACCAGAGATCCAAGGTGAGTATCAGTTCTACTTGTATCTGGAGCAGCTCATGATTTCTGCTAAACCTTGTGGGATTTGGGGAATGGTGAACGGCAAATAATTATAGTGCTGTTGCTAAGTGCTGTTGAGTCTGTTGTGACTCATAGTAACCTGTATAGGGTTTCCAAAGAGAGAATGGTGGGTTTGAACGACCGACCTTGTAGGTAGCAGTCCAGTGCTTATCTTGCAGCACCACACAGTAGTAGAGTACTACTAGAATAAAGCCAAAAACTGAAAGCTTGAATCCCAGAAGAGGAAATCAGGAAGATTCATGGAGGAAGCAGCGACCTCTGACTTGGTTCTTGAAGATGTGGAGTGAAGAGAGGCTTGCTAGCCTCAGAAGAAAACAAGGAGAACTGGTCTGGGAAGAGGAAAAATCAAACATTTATTTATTTCCCTGATATCAAATATATGACCCGGGGTGGACCCACCCCCAACATCAGTCAACCAAGCCAGATAGTCATGAATGGTTTCCACAGTTCTGTTTCTTCGCTTTTAGGTGCTCTGGACCACAATGCCCACCATGACCTCTGCTTCTCATCTAAAATATTATGACCCACTAAGGCCTCAGATTTCACCTTGCCATACTTTTGTCTATGGCTCAAAACCATGGTACCCAAACTTTATAAGTGACCATTATAGAGAATATGTAAAAGGGTTTGAGTAGACCAGAGAGTCTCAATCCTGACTACACATTAAGATCATCAGAGATTGTCCTTAAACTATGTGTCTGACACACAGCAGAGATTCTATTTTATTCAGTCAGTGATGGGTATTAGACTTCAGGGTATCTTAAAAACTTCCCAGGTAATTCCAAAATTCAAAAAATACTTTAACATGTGTCTTTTCAAAAAGACCACCTAAAAAAGAAAATTTGAGGTGTAAAATAACTCACAAGATAGTAATGAAAATGAAGTCTCATTACATGGCATGTGCAACAGGGTTACAAATGAACTCCAGTCAAATTAATTAATAAATAAGTTAAAATATCCTTCCATGTGCCTCAAGCACTATGTTTGTTTCAGATGTTATCTTAGACTCAATTGGTGAAAAAGAACTCTTCTTGGGAATGAGATTCAACTTTGATATTTTCATCAACTAGAAAGCCTTTTTCTGCTGATCAGTTTTCTTACAGCCCCTTTCAAGTCCTTGTTCCTGAGGCTGTAGATGAAAGGGTTCAGCATGGGGGTCACCATTGTGTACAACACAGTAGCTGCGGTGTCTTTCTCACCTGAGTGGGAGGATGAAGGGTTGAAATACACAGCAATGATGGTGCCATAGAAGAACAAAACAACAACCAGGTGGGAGCCACAAGTAGAGAAGGCTTTCCACCTTCCCTTCGATGATGGGACTCTAAGGACGGCGCAAGCAATAAGAATATACGAGATGAGGATGCAAACGAATGGAGCAATCATTAACAGCCCTGCTACAATAAGAATCATCATGTCATTGAGGTATGTGTCAGAGCAGGAGAGTCCCAGGAGAGGAACCACATCACAGAAGTAGTGGGGAATCGTGTTATCTGCACAGAATGAGAGTCGAGCCATCAGCAGAGTGTGCAACAGAGCATTCAGACTGGCAGTGACCCAAGATCCAAAAACCATGAGAGCACAGATTTGAGGGGTCAACTTTGTTGTGTAGTGTAAGGGGTAGCATACAGCAACAAAGCGATCATAGGCCATCACAGACAGGAGGAAATTGTCCATGTAGGCAAACACAATGAGAAAATACAGCTGCATGAGACACCCAGGGAAGGAGATGGATTGACTCTCAAGTATATGGTTGGCCAGCATCTTGGGGACAGTGGTAGAGGAGAAGCAGACATCCACGAAGGACAGATTGCAGAGGAAGAAGTACATGGGGGTGTGCAGACGGGAGTCAGTGCTGATGGCCAGGATGATGAGCAGGTTTCCCAGGACTGTGACCAGGTACATGCTCAGGAAGAGCCCCAAGAGGAGCTGCTGCTGCTGCTGGGGCTGCCTGGAGAGCCACAGGAGGAGGAACTCAGAGACACTTGACTGGTTTGCCCCACTCATAGGCATGCATCCAGGTTAATGCACAACAGCAAATTCAGAAACCTAGGCACGAATGGTTAAAGTGTAACAAATCAAGCTCCAGGTTGAGTCACATTTGCAAACCAATTAATAGTGTTACTAAAATAGAATCAACCCATCCCAACTATACACCCAATTCCCAGTACTTAGTCCTGTTGTCATTCCTACTGGAATCACTAGCACTTATTTCATATATTTAACATTGGAAAGCATACAGGCATACACAGAGCCCAACTCTGACTATTTCTTTGCTTACATTTCCCAGTTTCCACCCCCAAATTCTTAAATGTACCTAAAAAGACAAAGCTCATTACTACTAGGTTTAATCACAAGCTCTGGCTGGTGGATGCAGAACTCCAGGATCTGGAAATTTTCCATCTCTTAATAATCAAAAATAAATGTCATTTTTGCTGTAATCTTACCTAGAGGAGATTTGTTCTGTAGCTATCATGTGTTCTTCACATCTGCATAACTGGCCAATGTGTCTCTTTCTTTGGGGATATAGGCAAGCTCTGAGCAAGTGAGGAACATGCATTCATGCCCTTGGTCTTCTGGGCAGGAATCATGTTTGGGAGACTCAGAGATTAGGCATTTACAGGAGTTTTCATAGCCACTGGGACCAAATTCCCAGAGAGTCTCATTAAAGACAAGAAAAGAGTAATTGCTCCACATACCTTTTGGCCCCTTTGGACCAGAAAATGGTGACAAAGATTATCTAAGGTTTAGATGAAACTTTGGGATCAAAACTTGAAGGTATTAGATATCTTCTTAACCAAGATAGTCATCTTGGTTAAGGAACCAAATATCCGACAAAATTCCCAGAAGCCTCATCATCTTGCTCTTCTGGTTCTTGTCCATTTGTTATTGTTGTTGCTGTTAGGTGCCATCTAACTGGTACCAACTCATAGTGACCCTCTGCACAAGAGAATGAAACACTGTCCGGTCCTACACCAATCTCACAGGTTTTGCTTTGTTTCAGCCCATCGCCTCTGCCACTGCACAATCCACCTAGTTGGGGGTCTTCCTCTTTTTCTCTAAACCTCTACTAAACATGATGTCCTTCTCCAGGCACTGCTTCATCCAGATAATATGTCTGAAGTATGAGAGATGAAGCCTCGCCATCCTGACTTCCAAGGAGCACTCCGGCTGTACTTTTTCCAACACAGATTGGTTTCTTCTTTTGGCATTCCATGGTACTTTTAATATACTTCTTCAATACCATAATTCAAATGCATTAATTCTTCTACCATCTTCCTCATTCACTGGATAAGGTTACTGAAAATGCCATGTCTTGGGTCAGGCGCACCTTAGTCCTCAGCTGACATCTTTGCTCTTCAACACTTTAAAGAGGTCTTGTGCAGTAAATTTGCCTAATGCAATGTTTGACTTCTTGACCGCTGCTTCCATGTGTATTGATGGTTGATCCAAGCAAAATGAAGTCTTTGACAACTTCAGTCTTTTCTCCATTTATCTGGATGCTGTTTATTGATTCCGTGATGGGGATTTTTTATTTCATTACATTGAGGTGCAAACCATACTTTGATCTTCATCAGTATTTTAAGCCCTCTTCTTGTTCATAGGTGTGGAAATTCAGTTAGTAAATTATTTTTCTTCTCAATTTCTATATTCAGAAGTAGGGCTAGTCCTGTGTTTTTGGTGTAATCCTTGATTTCTCCATTTTGTGACTTAGCCTATTCTCTTATTTGCTGTGGTGGGTACCATTGAGTCAGTTTCAACTCATAGTGACCCTGTATATGGTTTCCAAGAGTGGCTGGTGGGTTTGAACTGCCAACTGTTCAGTTACCAGTCCAGTGCTTATCCTACAGCACTACACCAGAGCTCATTCTCATCCTCAGGGTGTAACTCCCAAATTCCCTAATTTCAGTGGGTCCACACCGATCTTGTAAACGCTACATCCCTCACCTTGCCTTAGTTGATTGGACCAGGGTATTTAAAACTGGGATTGGGGAATAAAATCATAAAAACTTTTATAAAGCAAAAAATATCAAAATGTGAAACTATTGTTTCTCTACATCTCCTCCATCTAGGTTTACTTCTGAAGCTGGTGTTTCCACTTTCATCTCTAACTCTCCTTGAAGAATTCTTCACTCTTCTGTCTACAACATGTCAAAATGGAAGTTTTGGCTTTCTTGAGGGATTCAAATCATGTTCCTTTTCAATGTTCTTTGAGTTTGAGAAACAAAAAGATGTCTGAAGGGGCAAGATCAGGGCTGTAGGATGGATGGGGTAAAGTTTTCCAACAAAATTCTCATAGGACAATTAGTGCCACCACTGCCTCCAAGCCAGTCCCAAGCCACCTGAGCTACCCAATCACCACCAGCCACATGGAGTGTCTGCAACCCAGCAGTATGCCCCAGGATTTGTCAGAAGCCCTGAAGGAGTCCATCAAGGAGGTACACACCCAGGCAGAGAATGTAGAGTTCATGAAGAACGTTCAGAAGGAACACATGACCCGAAATGGCTTTAAGTTGGTTATAGCCTCCCTGTACCACATCTATGTGGCCCTGGAGGAGGAGATTGAGTGTAGCAAGGAGAAACCTGTCTAGACACCCCTCTACTTCCCAGTGGAGCTGTACTGCAGGGCCATCCTGGAGCAGGACATGGCTTATCAAAAGACTCAAAGATAAAGTGTATTATACCCGTCATCACTTGCAACTTGCTTTTGAGGAGATGAAGAGTTGGACTCCCTTATCAAGGCTACAATTGCTGGTGGTGGTATCATTCCACACATCCACAAATCTCTGATTGGGAATAAAGGACAAGAGAAGACTGTCTAAAGGATGCCTGCATTCCTACTATCTCAGGACTCTAAATGCTCTAACAGCTATCCAGGGTTGGTGACTACAGTGGACTCTATCTCTATGAAAAAAAAACACAATTTTGTCTTTTTGTAATTCTATTTGAGCAGGTTCAATTAGCTTTCCAACCAACCAAATTTCTGCATTCGAGTCTTAACCACACTTAAGTGTTAATGTGGCTTCAAAGAAGCTATTGATTCTGAACTAGTGGGCTTTGATTGAGTTGATTGTTTTTTTAAAAACTTTGGATTTTAATTGTGATGCAGAAGTTACAGTAACAAACATTTGGTTTTGTACAGACATTGTTTCCACTCTGGTGGATAAGCTCAATAAAGCTCTGTTGCACAGTTGGCTCCTGGCTTTGATTTGATTGATAATATTGAGTTTCTCCATGTCTCTTTCCACAGATGTAGTCGATTTGATTCCTGTATGTTCCATCTGGAGAAGTCCACATGTATTGCTGTTGTTGTTGGGTGCCATTGAGTTGGTTCCAACTGATAGAGACACTGTGCACAAGAAACAAACACTGCCCAATTCTACACCATCCTCACAATTATTGTTACTCTTGAACCCATTGTTGCTGACACTGTACCAATCCATCCCATTGAGAGTCTTCCTCTTTTTTGCTGACCCTCCACTTTGTTTCCTTCTCTAGGAACTGGTTCAGCCTGATAATATGACTGAAGTACAAGAAATGAAGGCTTGCCATCCTAGATTCTAAAGAGTATTCTGGCTGTACTTCTTCCAACACAGATTTGTTTGTTCTTCTGGAAGTCCATGACATATTCAATGTTCTTCTCAAACTTAAATGTATCCATTCTTCTACAGTCTTCTTTACTTACTGTCCAACTTTCACATGCATATGAGACTACTGAATATACCAAGGCTTGGATCAGGCACACCTTGGTCCTCAAACTGATATATTGGTTCTTTAACACATTCAAGAGATCTTGTGCATCAGATTCACCTAATGTAATACGTTGCTTGATTTCTTGATTGCTGCTTCCATGAGTGTTGAATGTGGATACAAGCAAAATGAAGTCTTTGACAACTTCAATCTTTTCTTCAGTCACTGTTTTGTTGCTGGAAAAGGGTATTTGCAATGAATAAGTCATTCATCTTGCAAATTTTTTATCATGTGATCTATAGCACCATCCTTAATCCCAAAGCCATATTTACCAACCACTGATCCTTTGTTTCAAACTTTTGCATTCCAATCACCAGTATCTATGCATCTTGATTGCATGTGTGATCAATTTCAGACTGAAGAAATTGGTAAAATTCTTCAATTTCTTCATTATTGGCTTTAGTGGTTGGGGCTTAAATTTGAATAATAATCCTACTAACTGGTCTACCTTGTAGGCATATGGATATTATCCTATCACAACGTTTTACTTCAAGATCTTGAAATTCTCTTTTTGATGCCATTCCTTTTCAATTCGTAATTCCCAGTGTAGTAAACTGTGTGATTATCTGATTCAAAGTGGCCAATACCAGTCCATTTCAACTCACTAATGCCTAGGATATCTATCTTTATGCTTTCCATTTCATTTTTAATGACTTCCAGTTTCCCTAGATTATAATTTGAACATTTCATATCTCAATGATTAATGGATGCTTGCAGCTGTTTATTCTCTTTTTGAGTTGTGTTCCATCAGCAAATGAAGGTCCTGAAAGCTTAATTCCATCCACATTATTAACATCAACTGTGCTTTGAGGAATGGCCCTGGTGCCGTTCTAGGATAAGTGCTGGACTGTTAACCAATAGGTCATAAGTTCAAACACATCAGCTGTTCCAAGGAGAAAAAAGAGACTTTCTGTTCCCAGAGAGATCTGCAGCCTCAGAAACCCTATATAGGGCCACAATGAATCAAAATTAACTGGCAGTGGGTTTGGATTTGGGCTTGGCTACTTTGAGGAAGAAGTTATACCCCAGTTCTATTTTGAGTGCTTTCCAACCTGAGGGGCATATCTTTTAACACTATATCAGACAGTGTTTTACAACTATTCAGTGTTTTACAACTATTTTCACTGGCCAGTTTCTTCAGACCTAGCCAGCTACAGGCTTTTTCTTCCTAGTCTGTCTTAGTCTAGAAGCTCCACTGAAACCAATCCACCTCGAATTGCCCTCCCTGCTGATATTGAAAGGCTGATGGCATAGCT